GGGTCACTAACTGGCATATGCTTGCGGCACATGGCACAAGCCTTAAACCCGTGGGCCTGCGGCATGCCCCAGAGCCCGGGGTGGGTGCTGGAAGCCTCCAAGCACCTAATCACTTAAGTGTCCACAACAAAGGTATGCTAACTAACGGATAACAGCTATCTATAAGAGAAAGGCTAAGGGACTGCTCTCATACAAGAGAGAGAGGTTGTTCCAACCCCATCACGGAGGGTAAGAAGGAACTGGAGGGGGTCGGGCGGCAGGGGTATATATGCACGGCGCAGTGGCGCCACTCGGGGGGCTCCCCCGGCCTGATGGGAGCCACTAAGGGAAAAAGTTTTCGACGCTCGTGCACGCAATGCATGCACACCTAATTTGGAATGGACGTGAACAAGCACGCGAAGAAAAACTATGACATAGTTGGTATCACAGAGACTTGGTGGGATAATGCATATGGATGGAATACTGGTGTAGAAGGGTACATCTTGCTCAGGAAGAACAGTCTGAGGGGAAAAAAGGGAGTAGGTGTTGCCTTGTGTATTAAAGATGTATACACTTGTATTGAAGTTGAGATGGAAACAGGAAGAGACTTGTTGAAAGTCTCTCGGTAAATATAAAAAACCAAGGGTGATGTCATGGCAGGGATCACCTAACCAGGAAGAAGAGGTTGATGAGGCTCTTTTTTAAACAATTAACAAAATTATCCAAAGCATAGGTCTTGGTGGTGATGGGGGACTTCAACTACCCAGTTATTTGTTGGGAAAATAATACAACAGGGCACAGATTATCCAACAAGTTCTTGGAATGCATTGAGACAACTTTTTATTTCAGAAGATGGAGAAAATAACTAGGGGAGAGGTTGTTCTAGATTTTATTTTGACAAATAGGGAGGAACTGGTTGAGAATTTCAAGGTGGCAGGCAGCTTGGGTGAAAGTGATCATGAAATGATAGTGTTCATGTCACGGTTCCTTCCCCACTCTGAACTCTAGGGTACAGATGTGGAGACCTGCATGAAAACCTCCTAAGCTTACTTTTACCAACTTAGGTTAAAACTTCCCCAAGGTACAAACTATTTTACCCTTTGCCCTTGGACTTTCACTGCCACTGCCACTCACTTCGTCCGAAAGCTCATGCTCAAATAAATTGGTTAGTCTCTAAGGTGCCACAAGTACTCCTTTTCTTTTTGCGGATATCTAGCTAGATTACTTACTGAGTTCTAAGACTCCATTCCTGTTCTGTCCCCGGCAAAAGCATCACACAGACAGACACAGACCCTTTGTTTTTCTTCCTCCTCCCAGCTTTTGAAAGTATCTTGTTTCCTCATTGGTCATTTTGGTCAGGTGCCAGCAAGGTTATCCTAGCTTCTTAACCCTTTACAGGTGAAAGGATTTTTCCTCTGGCCAGGAGGGATTTTAAAGGCGTTTACCCTTCCCTTTATATTTATGACAGTTCATGATTCTAAGGAATGGTAGGAGGAAAAAGAGCAGTATAAAGACAATGGATTTCAAGAGGGCAGACTTTAGTAGCGAGCTGGTAGATAAGATCCCATGGGAAGCAAGTCTAAGGGGAAAAACAGTTTGAGAGAGCTGGCAGTTTTTCAAAGAGACATAATTAAGGGTATAAGAGCAAACTGTTCCACTGCGTAGGAAAGATAAGAAGTATGACGAGACCACCCTGGCTTAATCAGGAGATCTTCAATGATCTGAAACTCAAATAAGTGTCCTATAAAAAGTAGAAACTAGGTCAAATTACAAAGGATGAATATAAAAAGCAAGACAAGCATGTAGGGACAAAATTAGAATGGCCAAGGCACAAAATGAGATTAAACTAGCTAGAGACATAAGGGTAACAAGACAAGAACAGAAAATGTGGAAATGGCAGAAGTGCTAAATGCTTTTTTCGCTTCAGTTTTCACCAAAAAGGTTATTAGCAATCAGACAGCTAATATAGTGAATGTCAGTGTAAATGGGGTAGGATCTGAGGCTAAAATAGGGAAAGAACAAGTAAAAAATTACTTAGACAAGTTAGATGTCTTCAAGTTGGCAGGACCTGATGAAATACATCCTAAAATACTCAAGGAGCTGACTGAGGAGATATCTGAGCCATTGGTGATTATCTTAGAAAGTTCATGGAAGATGGGAGAGATTTCAGAGGACTGGAAGAGGGCAAATAAGAGTGCCAGTCCATAAAAAGGGGAATAAAGACAACCCAGGGAATTACAGACAAGTCATCTTAACTGCAGTACACAGAAAGAAAATGGAGCAAATAATCAAACAATCAATTTGCAACCCCCTAGAAGATAATACGGTGATAAGTAACAGTCACATGGATTTGTCAACAACAAATTATGTCAGATCAACCTAACAGCTTTCTTTGACAGGGCAACAAGCCTTCTGGATGGGAGGGAAGTGGTAGATGTGGTATATCTTGACTTCAGTAAGACTTTTGATACTGTTTTTGATGATCTTCTCATAAATAAACTAGGGAAATATAGCCTAGATGAAGCTACTATAACGTGAGTTCATAACTGGTTGAGCTGGTAAGGCATATTGAGTGGGGTCCCACATGGATAGGTCCTGCATCTAGTTCTGATCAATATCTTCATCAATGGTTTAGATAATGGCATAGAGAGTACACTTATAAAGTTTGCAGACAATACCAAGCTGGGAGGGGTTGCAAGTGCTTTGGTGGATAGGATTGAAATTCAAGATGATAAATTGGAGAAATGGTCTGAGGTAAACAGAATGAAATTCTATAAGGACATATAAAGTACTCCACTTAGGAAGGAACAATCAGTTGCACACATACAAAATGGGAAAGGACTGCCTCAGATGGAGTACTGTGGGATCTGGGGGGCATAGTAGATCACAAGCTAAATATGAGTCAACACTGTTGAAAAAAAAGCAAACATCATTCTGGGATATATCAGCAGTAGCGTTGTAAGCAAGACACAAGAAGTAATTCTTCTGCTCTGCTCCTTGCTGATATGGTCTCATTTGGAATAGTGTATCCAGCTCATTTCACTGTATCCAGTTCTGGGCATCACATTTCAGGAAAGATGTGGACAAATTGGGGAGCAACAAAAATGATTAAAGGTCAAGAAAACATGACCTATGAAGACAGATTGAAAAAACTGGGTCTGTTTCATCTGGAGAGGAGAAGACTGAGGGGGGACATTATAACAGTTTTTAAGGACATCAAACATTGGTACAAGGAGGAGGATGAAAAATTGTTCTCCTTAAACTCTGAGGATAGGACAAGAAGCAATGGGCTTAAATTGCGGCAAGGGAGGTTTAGGTTGGACATTAGGAAAAACTTCCTGTCAGAGTCGTTAAGTTCTGGAACAAATTGCCTAGGGAGGTTGTAGAATCTCCGTCATTGGTGGCTTGTAAGAACAGGTTAGACAAATATCTGTCTGGAATGGTCTAGTTACAATGTAGTCCTACCTTGAGTACAAGGGACTGGATTAGATGACCTACTGAGGACCCTTCCAGTCCTACACTTTTATGATTCTATGATTTAGATTCCATGGAGGAGTAATTGATCTTTCCTTTGGTTAAAATAAAGATTCAGCGTTAAAAATGTGATCGCATTTAATCCTAATGATGAATCTTACCTGTTGCCTCCCATACCACTTATGGTTGCCATCTGGTTGTAGCCTAAAAGGGCTCTGAGATTTGGGCCATGACATGATTTCTTGGACATTTTGTGGGGTGAGAGCTGGTGCCAAGAGGGGGACTGTAGGGTAGGAGGGTCTCTCAACAGCAAAGCATTCAACTCTGGGCAGAGTTGGTTTCAAAGGCTGTGAAGATGGCTCTACAGGTCCTAGCAACAAAGGTTTCCTTGCTTCAGCTGAGTGCTGTGTGGGCAGGAGGACAGAGAATTAGGAAAGGGAGGACCTCTAGTTTGGCTGGGTTGGGGTAGAACAGGAGGAAAGGTAGCAGAAAGTATAGGGGATCTGGTGTAAATTGCTCCTTCCTTCCCCCTCCCAGGTCTCTCACTGAATACTCTCACTGGAGTTTTGCTGGGACTTTACCTCCCCTCACCGAGACGGCCCAACCCACAAGGGGGTTCTTCATGAACCAGTTAAAGAAATGCCCCATAGGTTGAGTAGCACTACACTGAGCTATGCTGCCTCTTACCATAACCCAGACATACTGCACTTTTGTACTGTCAGGCAAAACTAACAGTGATACAAAAGACTACATAAGCACAGGGGTGCTGATACACACGTGGTGAGGGAACCATAATATTGAACTTCCTAACACGTGTGCCATTAATGCAGTGTTTTGGTTGGAAATTTAAATACAGATTTTTTGCACTAATTTATTAAAAATATTTCGATTTTGAAAGAGCCCACACACATTGTTTAAAACCACTACATTGATTTTTATTGTCTCTAGCTTATTTGCTCAGTGAAGAAAGGGCACACTATGCCTGAATTTAAAGAAATGAAGGCAGTAATACAGTGGGCAAATCCTCTGTGTTCCCAAATCTGTGTGTCTTCTCCTTTTGACAGGTTTTATTTGCTGTGAAATTTAGAACTTAATCCAGACAGTTCAAATTCCCTGTCCAGAGGTAGGCAATGTAATCCCTTTTGACCAGGAAACCATACAAGTCTGCAGCTATGCAACAAAACATTCTTCAGGGATATCACAGTGACACTGACTGTAGTTATGAAATTTCACTGTAAAAGGCATTTAGGAATTAGGCAATAAAGAATACAAGTGAAATAAGACTAGAATAAGCACAAACCTACAGCGGCTTTAAAAAAAATCCTTACTTTTAGAATTTGTTCATACTTCTGAAAGTCTTGACTATGAACAGACTGCAGCATGGTAGGAATATATGCTATATTTGATTCATAGTTTTAAAACCAACATTTTCATTACATCATGATTACATATAAATTTGTATGAATTTATCTAAGGAACCAAAGTAAAATTATGTTAACAGTCCCTTAAATTCTTACCCATGATTTTATATTGGGAATAGGACTTACTTGTTAAGTATTTTGGCTCTTTTGGCACTTGAAAAATTCTCCAGTTGTAAAGATTCTTGTGTAAGAAAAGCAACAGCCAGGTGGAAGTAGTTGTTCCAAAGCTGAAAATCAGAGAGAGGACAAGAATAAATACTATTAAATCGCTGAAGTGTTCTTCTGCACACCTACAAAACATCTTAAAATACATAATTTATGCATATAAATATTAATAGAAAAAATAGACATTGTCTTCTTGAAGAGATCTTAGTCCATCTCCATGCTGTTCGTATGTTTAATGAAACACAATGGTCCATTTACACAAAATCAAAGGCACTTTGATTATTCAAACACATGAGATATGAATACGAGTGTGTATGTTTTATATATATTTTACACACCCATAATATCATGCATATATGAGACTGTGTGTGTGTGTGTGTGTGTGTGTGTGTGTGTGAGAGAGAGAGAGAGAGAGAGAGATTTAAGTTTACTGAATGTCTATTAAAGCATGCTGAAGGACAGATAGGGCTGGCTACTCCTTGTGCAATTATCTTTAGAAATGCTTACAGGAACATAAGTCTGGAAGGGACCTCCTAGGTCATCAAGTCTGGTCCCCTGCTATCACAGGCAATCCCATCCTATCATCCCATTCATAAATGTATCAAACTCCATCTCAAAATTAATTAGGTTGTTTGCTCCGATCACTCCCATGGAAAGCTGTTCCAGAACCTCACTCCTCTAATGGTTAGAAAGCTTCTTCTAATTTACAGCTTAAACTTATTCATGATCAGTTTATACCCATTTGTTCTTGTGCTAAGATTTTCCTTAATTTTAAATAATTCTTTTCTCTCTCTGGGGTGCCCCCCCGCTGCCCTGACGAACTTATAAAGAGCAATCATATCCCCTCTCAACCTTAATTTTGCTAGTCTAAACAAGCCAAGCTCTTTTAGCTCCTGTCCTAAGATAGGATGAACAGATGAATGGAGAACCTAACAGCCCTTATAGTTCATCCTTCTATGCCACTGTTCCACTTTGAAGTCACCTTTCTTGAACTTGGGTGACCAGAACAGTACACAGTATTCCAAATGAGATCTTATCAATACCTTGTATAATGGCATTAACACTCCCCTATTTTTACTGGAAAAACCCTACCTCATACATCCTATGATCACATTTGCCTTTTCCATGGCTACATCACATTGGTGGCTCATAGTTATCTGATGATCGACTAATACACCCAGGTTCTTCTCCTCCTCTGTTGTTTCTAACTGATGAGCCTCCAGCTTATAGTAGAATTTCTTGTTATCAGTCCCTAAATGCACAAACTTGCATTTTGTACTATTAAATTTCATCCCATTTCTATTACTCCAATCCTCTAAGTCAGGCAGTTCTTCCTGTGTAATATTCCAATCCTTCCCTGTATTGATTATGCCTCCCCACTTCATGTCATCAGCAAGTTTCATTAGCACACTCCTCCTTTTTGTGCCAAGGTCATTAATGAAAGTATGAAATAAAATCAGTCCCAAGACCGATCCTTGAGGAACTCCACTAGTAACTATCAAAGGAAGTTTCCTATAATAAATCTCAACATTATTAAGGTACTGTGATTTGTTAACAGTCTCCAGCCCGCATTCCACTGTGCGTGGCTACCTCAGAATTTGGTTTCAGAGAACCATTGCCAGTGTTCGCTCCTGTTGACACACTATCCACTCAGACCTCAAAGCATTTTCCTATGTATTTTCTGAAGCACTCTGCATACTTACAGGGCTCTATAAATAAAGAAAAAAAGTGTGTCCATTTATCTGATTAAAAACTAAATTTATATGCAAATTAGGTATGGCCCTCAAGCTCTCGAGAAGTTGCCAACAGGTCTCCCAGTGCTGTAAAGGTTGTGCAAGATCAATGTATTTATTTTTGCAGTGGCAGACATAATGTACAGTTTACTTATTGGAAATATAATTTTTTCAATACTCTATTAAAATATATAATCGATTTTTAAAAGTCTACTACTATAAAGAAATCTCTGGGTGACACAAACAAAATAAATTAGTTTAGTCTGGTATCTCTTATACTATCTCCTAAACCAGAGCAACATTCAGAGCAAGGGAGAGGAGGGAAGGAGTCTGGTTATGGCTCACCAGTTCTCTGGGCTAGCCCCAGATTCAACACGACATTCAGCAGCTCCCAAGGTGCTCTAAGTGATGCCACTGGCATAGGGTTTTTAATGGGTCCTGTGCTAGTGGAGGATAGGCATAGATCATAGAATCATAGAATATCAGGGTTGGAAGAGACCCCAGAAGGTCATCTAGTCCAACCCCCTGCTTGAAGCAGGACCAATTCCCAGTTAAATCATCCCAGCCAGGGCTTTGTCAAGCCTGACCTTAAAAACCTCTAAGGAAGGAGATTCTACCACCTCCCTAGGTAACGCATTCCAGTGTTTCACCACCCTCTTAGTGAAAAAGTTTTTCCTAATATCCAATCTAAACCTCCCCCACTGCAACTTGAGACCATTACTCCTCGTTCTGTCATCTGCTACCATTGAGAACAGTCTAGAGCCATCCTCTTTGGAACCCCCTTTCAGGTAGTTGAAAGCAGCTATCAAATCCCCCCTCATTCTTCTCTTCTGCAGGCTAAACAATCCCAGCTCCCTCAGCCTCTCCTCATAAGTCATGTGTTCTAGACCCCTAATCATTTTTGTTGCCCTTCGCTGGACTCTCTCCAATTTATCCACATCCTTCTTGTAGTGTGGGGCCCAAAACTGGACACAGTACTCCAGATGAGGCCTCACCAATGTCGAATAGAGGGGAACGATCACGTCCCTCGATCTGCTCGCTATGCCCTTACTTATATCCCAAAATGCCATTGGCCTTCTTGGCAACAAGGGCACACTGCTGACTCATATCCAGCTTCTCGTCCACTGTCACCCCTAGGTCCTTTTCCGCAGAACTGCTGCCTAGCCATTCGGTCCCTAGTCTGTAGCTGTGCATTGGGTTCTTCCGTCCTAAGTGCAGGACCCTGCACTTATCCTTATTGAACCTCATCAGATTTCTTTTGGCCCAATCCTCCAATTTGTCTAGGTCCTTCTGTATCCTATCCCTCCCCTCCAGCGTATCTACCACTCCTCCCAGTTTAGTATCATCCGCAAATTTGCTGAGAGTGCAATCCACACCATCCTCCAGATCATTTATGAAGATATTGAACAAAACCGGCCCCAGGACCGACCCTTGGGGCACTCCACTTGATACCGGCTGCCAACTAGACATGGAGCCATTGATCACTACCCGTTGAGCCCGACAATCTAGCCAGCTTTCTACCCACCTTGTAGTGCATTCATCCAGCCCATACTTCCTTAACTTGCTGACAAGAATACTGTGGGAGACCGTGTCAAAAGCTTTGCTAAAGTCAAGAAACAATACATCCACTGCTTTCCCTTCATCCACAGAACCAGTAATCTCATCATAAAAGGCGATCAGATTAGTCAGGCATGACCTTCCCTTGGTGAATCCATGCTGGCTGTTCCTGATCACTTTCCTCTCATGCAAGTGCTTCAGGATTGATTCTTTGACGACCTGCTCCATGATTTTTCCAGGGACTGAGGTGAGGCTGACTGGCCTGTAGTTCCCAGGATCCTCCTTCTTCCCTTTTTTAAAGATTGGCACTACATTAGCCTTTTTCCAGTCATCCGGAACTTCCCCCATTCGCCACGAGTTTTCAAAGATAATGGCCAATGGCTCTGCAATCACAGCCGCCAATTCCTTCAGCACTCTCGGATGCAACTCGTCCGGCCCCATGGACTTGTGCACGTCCAGCTTTTCTAAGATGAACTCTGCTCTGTGACATCCTCTACCTGCCTTCCCCAGACCAGGAAGGGAGGAGTGCTACGGGTGGAGCACCCAGTTGTGGCATGTCTGTGCCAGCAGGGAGTTCTCTGACAGCAGACAGCTGCACATTGGTAAACAGATTATGGCCCTTTTGCACTATTGCTGTAAAGAGAATCTGGCCCACCATATTATTCAGGCTGACTGAACAGTGGAAATGACGGTTCCACACTGAGAAACCCTGCAATGGATCTTCAAATATTTAAATCTGGCAGTGTTAGCTGATCTCAATTGTCAAGACAGAACAAAAGCAGAGATGCAGTCTTTACAGCAGTCAGGTCCCAAATCAGTGCAGAGTTCTTCAGATCAATAGTTATATTGATACTGAATTATGTTGATATTAATAGTTATACTGATACTGAATTAAGAGAGCACTAGTTACTCCGCACAAACTGTCTGTGTGGACACTTCTATTGTGCACTAAAAGTTCCTTTGTGCGCATTAGCTTAATACACTTTGGAAATGTACTAAGCTAAACCACCTCAGGGCACCCTTTGTGCACAGTAAGTGTGTCCACATAGGGATTTATTGCTGACTAGCTTGTGCACTTTAAATTCACACCTTAGCTTACTGAGCACTAACTTCCCCGTGCGTCTTCATCCAAACCTCACACTCAGGCAGACATTAGTAAAATTGACAGGTTTCAGAGTAACCAGCCGTGTTAGTCTGTATTCGCAAAAAGAAAAGGAGTACTTGTGGCACCTTATAGACTAACCAATTTATTTGAGCATAAGCTTTCGTTAGCTACAGCTCACTTCATTGGATGCATACTGTGGAAAATACAGAAGATGTTTTTATACACACAAACCATGAAAAAATGGGTGATTATCACTACAAAAGGTTTTCTCTCCCCCCACCCCACTCTCCTGCTGGTAATAGCTTATGTAAAGTGATCACTCTCCTTACAATGTATATGATAATCAAGGTGGGCCATTTCCAGCACAAATCTAGGTTCCCCCCCCCCCCCCCCACACACACACAAGTCCACTCTCCTGTTGGTAATAGCTTATGTAAAGTGATCACTCTCCTTACAGTGTGTATGATAATCAAGGTGGGCCATTTCCAGCACAAATCCAGGGTTTAACAAGAACATCTGGGGAGGCGGGGGTAGGAAAAAACAAGGGGAAATAGGTTACCTTGCATAATGACTTAGCCACTCCCAGTCTCTATTCAAGCCTAAGTTAATTGTATCCAATTTGCAAATAAATTCCAATTCAGCAGTCTCTCGCTGGGAGTCTATTATT